AGGACGGGAAAGGTGAAGCCACTCGATCATTGAAGCAGGAAGGCGCGTAAAGTAGAGTGGAATCTGTGAATCCAAAGATACCTGCTTTCCACGACCGATGGGTAAACCTCGGCACCATTTTTTCAGATGTTCCCGATGCTCCTGTTCCTCTCCCTTCCCCACGTTTTGATGAAGAGCATCGACTATGTTAGGTTTGTACAACTGTTCCCCTGCTGGTGTTCGCGCCAGGGCGCCGAGCTCCGCGAAAGCACGGCGGCGCAAGCGCAAGGGCGTCAAATTCGACAGCGTCCCTCGGGCGTGCAGAGGGTCACGAGCACATTCAAAGCACCCTCGGTGCCCAACATAGTAAGAAGCGAGACTTACTCTCTGCTATGTTTGAGCAGCCTGCGTTAATGCATGCATTTTGTCAGGCCGCTGCCTTCTGGCCGCCTGCCCTCCCAAGGTCAACTGCCGGCTCTCTCGACCCTGCTCCGCCAATCATGGGGAGACCAAAAGATACCTACAACGCTGCTCCCCAGGCCTCTCCCAGCGTGCGTTCTCACCAGAATTTCGAGGCGAATCCAGCGGTGGCGACGACGGCCTCCCAGGCGGCCCAAGGCAGGGCAAAACGAGGCAAGGGTAGCTATATACAGGCACCCACTCCTCCTCTGATGGTCCGCCCTCAACGCGTCCTTGGGCGAGAATGGGTCCCCACTGGGTCTCGACTGGGTCTTGACTGGAGCTCTGCCCTTATCAGGGATGCGGAGGCGCTTGCAGTGGAACAGAGGGCTGGGGAAGCTGTCCTGCCCCAGGAAGGGGGGAGTATGGAGGAGGAAGCGCAGGCGGAGGAGCAGGAGGAGGAGCAGAAGGAGCAGAAGGAGGAGGAGGAGGAGGAGGAAGAGGAGGAGGAGGAGAAGGAGGAGGAGGAGGAGGAGGAGAAGGGTGGCGTTTCCTCTCGAGCAGGGGGAGGGGCGCTGGCGCCGGCAGGCTCCGCTCATAGGGGTCGAGGGCCTGCACGGCCGCGCCCGGCACTCGACGACGACGGCGACAACGACGACGGCGACGACGACAACGACGATGGCGGCGACGGCGGCGGCGGCGACGACCAGGGTCAGATCAGCTGATCCTGGCCACGGCGCGGCGAGCAGTGCCAGCCAGCGGTTCAAGGATGGATCCCTGTCGGATGGGGCCCTGGAGAGCAGGCAGTGGATCGCAAGCGGCACTTCCGCTGCTCAAGGTCTTCATTCTGAGGGCCGCAGCCCGCAGGACTCGGTGCCCCTCAACTCCCGCCATCGCTCGAACGCCCATTCCCTGTGCATTTGTCGGCTTCGTGCGTCTATTATTAGGTCGGGCCTGTCCCCCTACAGGGGGGATTTTGGGCGAAACAATGAAAGTACCCCCACAAAAAATAGTCAAACAATGCTCAAAATAGTCAAAAAAAACGTCCCCATACTATTTGTTGAGTATGTTTGAACGTCCCTCCTGTAGAGGGACAGGCCCGACGTAAGTGTATCCTTCGCAAGGTGAACAATCATGTTCTTCGATGCTCCTCGCCGAGAAAAAAATCGGCGGTGGACAAACCTCCCTTTAGTACACCTCCCCTTTGTGAAAACGGCCTGGGACCGAGAACGACGGACCTAGACCCGCAACTATGACGGCCGCGACGCCCTCTCGCGAACCGAAAACGGCCAATTCCTTAATCGACGTGTCAGGGCAGGAGGTCTATCAAACTCCAAAAAAAAACGCACGTACGAGCGCTGCCGAGAGCTTCGAAAACCTCCGAGCAGGCAGCGACCCTCGGCCGAGCTCGGCCAAGCCGTCCCGCGCAAGGCTGGCCGCGCCCAGGCCCCTCTACGCTACGGGCCTCGAACGGGGGGGGGGGGGGTGATGGGCCTGTTTGCCACCACCACCACCAGAAGCTGGAGTGGGGAGGGGGCCCTCCTCCTCCCCCCCCCTCCTCCTCCTCCTCCTCCTCCTCCTCCTCCTCCTCCTCCAGCTCCTCCACCTCCTCATCCTTCTTCTCCTTCTCCTGCTCCTCCCCTTCCTCCTCCTCCTCCTCCTCCTCCTCCTCCTCCCCCTCCCTCCTCCTCCTCCTCCTCCTCCTCCTCCCCTCCTCCTCCTCCTCCTCCTCCTCGTCCTGCACCTCCTCCCCCCCTCCCACTTCTGCTGGTGGTGTGTGGTGGAAACCAGGCCCACCGGGTGGGGCCCCCTAACAGGCGGGGTGCACCCTGCGCACCTCGCCGCGCGCAGTGGAGCGTGCCGCCTGCCTCCTGCTCCCCCGGGGCCTCCCTGCAGGCCACCCGTGGGAGAGCGGAAGACGGCGCGCCGCGCCGGCACCGAAGCCCTCCCTCACGGAATATACCTACCAGGCCACCCCGACCCAACCCGCAGGCCCAAAACAATTCGGGTCGGGGGAGGGGTTTCCAGATGTGTGTTTGGTCCCATGTTCCCGGACGCCCCTCCCCACCCCACTGGGGATTGGGGGCAAGTTGGGGCCTTCGCGTTGGGTTGGGGTGGCTTGGTGGGCGGTAACTCACAGACAGGCGCACACCCGAGTGCCCCCGCACAGCATCGAGCCGCCAGTTCCACAAGGTCTGCCAAAGATGCGCTGAGCGTCACCGCGGTTCTGGTTCCGCGTGCAGGGGGAGGAGCAGGCAGGCCCAGGCGCAGCTATAAGCACACCTGCGTGTACGCCGAGCGCCGAGGTGTCGATACAAAGGGTGCCTACGGTGAGACGGGCCAGACAAAACGCTCGACGCCGGCTGGAGTGTCCGAACCAGAGAAACGAAGCGCCTGCGCATGGAGAGACGACGAAGCAGAGCGCAATCACAATGGCATGAATCAAGCCGACCGAAGGCTTACCCCAAATATTGAGCAGCAGCGACGTGATTGTCACACTTGAGTCGAAAGGGAAGCCCCTTTCCTGGGATCCCTTCCCCGCCAGGGGGGGGGGCTGGGGCTGGTCCCGGAGGGGATCGTGGGGGGACCCAGTGCAACTCCCGGGTCCACCCCTCCTCCTCGTCCTCGCTCTCGTCGTCCGCGTCGTCCCCTCCCAGGGTCGTCGGCACCGCCTTGAGGCCTTCGCCATCAAGACGATCGAAGGCAGAGAAAGGCACGTGTGAAAGCGAGGCGACGAGCAGCACGGGCGCACGATTCGTCTCGTCGGGCCTCGGGCGTGGCAGCGAAGCAGGAAAAAAGGCGCCTCGGGGCACACCGCCAGAGGACCGCCAGGGGGTGCTGCTGGGGAGACCTTCGTGTGCTCTCGCTCTCCTCTTGCGCACGCCGTCCACGCGATGACCGCCAGAGGGGGCTGGTGGGGAAACCTTCCTGTCCTCTGCGCACGCAGCCCCCACGCACCACCTTCCCGAGCCGCTGCAGCAGCAGGCAACGCCCAAACGGTCTCGGGCTGCACCAGAGACGCGCACGTCGTCACCTCGAAAATCCACCTGCTTCTACCTCAAGAGTCGGCATGGGGGAAACCAAAAGGTACCGAGAACGCTTCGGGGATCTACTGACCCGGGGCAATCCAAACCTGGGTCAGTCAGGCCTTGCAAGATCCTGCAGGACCCTGCACCCGAACCCGGGACAATGCACCCCTGGCCCTGCAGGATCCGGCGCCCTGGCCGACTCCCGGTTGAATCGACCCCCGTCCCCTGGCGACCCGACCACTACTCCCCAGGCCTGTCCATGACTCTTTCAGGACGGCGTCCCCGGAAGTCCGGACCCTTGCCCCAGGACCGGCTTGTCATCCTGAGTGGTTGTTTGACGCTCCCGAGGCCCGGCGAGGGACCCCAGGGCCCGGAGTTTGTTTGTTGCTTTCTTTATAACAATAATAATGCGAATAATAATAAGAAGAAGAATGTAATAATAATAATAATAAAAATAATAATAACAATAATAATAATAATAACAACAATAATAACATAATAATAATAGTAATAATAATAATAATAATAATAGTAGTAACAATAATAATAATGATATAATAATAATATGAATATTAATATTAATATTATTAATAATAATAATAAGAAGAATAAGAAAAATAAAAAAAATAATAATAATAATAATAATAACTAATGACAAACAAACTGCCCGTCCTGATTATTTCACGACTCTCGGGCGAATCCGGGCCACGGCGGCGCGGGGCTCTCCAGCCCCGAGAGGTCCAAGAGAGGCCACCGCGAGGCAGAGGGAGCGGCACCGGGGCCTCGGGGATCGGCACGGGAGCGCGCCGCGCCTCTCGCGCTCTCTCTCTCTCTCTCTCTCGCTCTCCGTCTCTGCATGGCGACCTGCGGCGGCGAGCGAGGGGGGGAAATGGGGAGGAGAAGGCCTTCTCCGAAGGCGGCGGGACTTCTGAGAAGCCCCCGCGCCTCCTGAGAGGTTTCGGCCTGTCTTCGGGGAAGGCTTCGAACAAGTCTCAGAAGGACGTGGGACTTCCGAGCCTTCTGAGAAGGCCTTCTCCTTCTCATTTGCCCCCCTCGCTCGCCGCCGATACCTACCAGACAACCGCAACCCAGCCCGAAGGCCCGAATTTCGGGTTTGAGGGGGGGCGTATGGCTTCCTCGTATGTTCTTTGTGTGCAGAATGCTCCCCGACGCCCGCCGCCCCCACCACTGGGAAGAGAAGGGAGGGCCGCTCGGGGCCTTCAGGCTGGGTCGGGGTGCTGTGGTGGGTAGCGCCCGGAGCCCTCACAGATCGATCCAGCTCGAAAAAAGACGAGGAGAGATGTGGGGGGGGCCGGCCGCCATCTTTCGCGACCTTGCAGTTCTTGTTCGCAACGTCGACTCTCAGGGCTGGTGCGCACCGCCCCCCTCTCCCTCTCTCTCTCTCTCTCTCCTCGGCGCGTTCCACGACTCGCGAAGTGACGGCTCGCAGATGGTCTGGAGCCGCCGCGGGGGGATCTACGAGCCATGGCATCGAGGAGGACATGTGTATTTTTGTCCAACGCTTGCGCGTAGGCACGCTGCGAGCAGTGGAGCGCGCTCGACGATCTCTGGAGGCGTCGCTGGCGGCGCAGCCTTGTCTCCGACCTCCGAGGCCATGCGGGCCATGACTGGGAGCTGGCCCTCGGCCTCCAGCTGGCCGTAGGCCAGGTGCAGCATCACCACCGCCGCCGAGACCACGGCCGCGCCGCACTCCGCGTCTCGTGGCGGCGCTGGTTTGCTCGGAGATCGGGGGCGGCCAGCAGGGCAAATCATGGCCAGCGGCACGTGCGCGGCCCAGGGGGGGGGGCCGGGGACGCAGCGAGGCGAGAAGAGGCGCCATGAAGTCTGAGAGGAGATCTGATGGCCCACGCCATGAGATCTATCCCCCCCTGGTCATCACCCCCCTCTTGGCCGCCCCCGATGAGCGGCAACTGATCTCAGCGAGAGCAAGACTGATGGACAAATGTTCACCACCACTACCCATATGCAGGTTGGGGGAAAAGGGGTAACGACTTGAGCTGTCCCCCGACTCGCGCTGGAGCGTCCGCGATTGGCTCCACATCTCCCTGGAGATCGCTGGACTTACCTCGACGCACCTGGACCTGCCTCGGCCTATCGGGCCGGGCGAAAGGGGGGGATAGCAAACGGGGGGGGGGGAGAATCAGCTCACGTAGCTGATTTTCCCGGCGCTTCCCAGCGCCGGAGGCGGCTATGTATCGAGGAATGGGCCCCTCGGTGGGGCCGAAACCAGCTGCACGCAGCAGATTTCGCACCCCCCCCTTTCCCAATCCCCCCCTTTCGTCCGGCCCGAGCCTACCTGGACTCGCGTCGCTCTACCTGGTTGTGCCCCGACATGCCCGGCCTGATCCCGGACCTGCCTCTGGTGGCCCTGTAGACGCAATCTCATGGTTGTGCCCCGACATGCCCGGCCTGATCCCGGACCTGCCTCTGGTGGCCCCGTCGACGCAATCTCGATCCGCCTGTTGCTCGCCTCGACACGCCCGGCCAGATCCCCGGACCTGCCTCGACCCGCCTGGACTCGCCTCGCTCTGCCTGGCCGCGCCTCGACGCGCCTGGCCCGGTCTGGAGGAACAGAAACGGCATGAGCTGAAGAGGCCCTGGGACACACAAATCAATCGACACAAATGACAAGATTCCCCCTCTTTGTCCGTAGTTTCTGGGTTTTTGTCTTCCCCCTCACTTCCCATATGTTCCCAATGTTCTGGGGTATCGACGATTCATTGTGTCTGTGTGTGTGTTGTTTTCCCTCCTGAAAGACAGAAGGGCCGCGGACTGACCTACTCCTGTCAGAGGATGGCTGGGAGGGGGGAGGGGGCGCAAATCATGGCCGGATGCACGTGCGCGGGCCAAGATGGGTTGGGGGCATGCAGGAGGCACGTTGAAAGAAGAGTAGGGGGCTACAAAATCCCGGGCGATGTCATGACCAAGCCACGATATCCACCCCACCCCTATAGTAGCCCCAAACACCCGGAATTCACATGTCCCCCAACCGGGCCCCCAACCTCTCGATCACGCGGGCCCCCAACCTCTCGATCATCCTATCCCACCACCCCACGATTTCTAAGGGGGGAGGTGGGGTTCACTCCGCTCGGGAGGTCCCGAACGAAGCGACCTCCACCTCCCCCCTTAGATTACCTTCGAGTAGAGAATCGGCGATGAAATTGATTTACCCCGAACTTGAAATTGCCGTCGGACCTACAACAAGGACGTAGACTGTTCATAGATATTCGAACAGTCGACGTACTTTGGTGAATATTCGACGAACATCTCAAGTTTGGGGCACATTAATTCTGTGGTCGAACCTACTCGACCCCTACGCACCCCGTCGCCTCTGGCCCCAGCAAGGCGGCCCCGAGGCACGCCTTCGCTTCCGCACCACAGAACTGCACCGCTAGCCCTCTTCTGCACCGTGGCCGCAGGAAAGGTGGCATCCTGATAGACGGGCGGCGGGCGACGCCAGCAGGAAGCGCTGCCAGACGGAGTGGGAGGCGTCCAGGAGCTCCTCGCGGGCCGGCGAGGACAGGAGGCAGGGCCAGGCAGCACTCCAGGTGCCCAGGGACACACAAATGAATGCACACACACACACACAAATCCCAGCACTCCCAGATCGACGCTTAATAGTGCCTGTGTGTTTGCTCCCCCCTGCTACATCAGATCGTGATGTCGGGACCAGGTCGGAGCGTGCGTCGGGCCGGGCTGCGTCGGCACGCAGCGATCGGATCGGCCGCGCCAGGATGCACCACGGCGCCACGCCGGCATGGGTCGCATCGGCTCGCCAGGATATCAGGGCCGAATATCGGAGCGAGCTGGTCGAAGTCGACATCGGATCGCATCGGATCCGATCGGTCGGATCGACATGAGCGGCAATCAAAACCGGGCCTTCTTACGCGAGATGGCACAGCGACCCCACGCCACGGCTTGCGCGGGCCGCCAGCGGCGGCACGCCACGCTGGAGACGAGCGCGCTCACGCGCGACCTCACGCGAGCAGCTTGCGCGCGAATGTCGGCGCAGCCGACCCCGACCGCGGCCAAAGGCCAAAAAGGGAAGCCCACCGCGAAACATTCGCGGTGGTTGCCCCCTCCAAGCCGCGGCCGCAGCCGTGGCCGCAGCCGCAGCCGCGGCCGCGGCTGGGAGAGGAAAATCCACCACGAAAAATTCGCGATAACTCCCCCCACCCGGCCGTTTTTTGGGCGTCGCCCACACGGACCCTGGGCCCCGCTGGCCGAGTTACCCCCCTGGATGGGGATACAGGCCGTCCCCTTCGGGTTTCGAGGGGTGTATCCCCGCCTGGGGGGGTAATTTGGTGGGGGTCTCGAAGGGGATGGGGATGGGGATGGGGATCGGTGAACGATACTGAGAAGAAGGCCGAGAGAGAAATCTTCTCAAAGGCCACGGGCTCTTCTGAGCCTTCCGAGCAGGCCATCTCAGGGCCGAATCTACACGGTGTTGCTCGTTTTCGTTATGTCTTCGCTTTCCCTCGCTCTTGTCTCGCATCCGCCTTCACCGCAAAACGAAGTCGGAACGAGAACGGCCCACGAAATCACCAAAAACACCGTTCCGGTCCAGCCCTGGGCCATCTCCGTCCCGCTCTTCCCCCCGGGCTCGCCGCCGAGAGCCGCATCGGAGGCGGCCTAGCGCGTCCCCCGGGCCTCGCCGCGGCTGCCCGTGCCGAGGCCTGGAAGTGGGCACCGACACCAAGACAGTGGGCTGCCTCCACAGGGGGAAGAGGATCCCGGATTTCGGTGCTGTTGGTAATAGTTCGGTCACCTTGGAAGCCAGCATACTACCACCATCACCGAGATTGGGATCGTCTCCCCTCGGTGGAGGCACACCGCCGATCTTGGTGTTGGTGTCAACCTCTGGGCCTGCGATGCCCGTCCCGAGGCCCGAGAAAGGCGCTCCCCGGTCTCGGAAGAGCCAGCGCGCACCCCAGGGGTCGCCGAGAGGATCCCTGCAGCGAAGGCCCCCCCTTTGCCAGGTGAGCGAGGAAAAAAAAAGCGGGTCTTACGCGAGATGGCGTGGCGACCTTACGCGGGCAGCTCACGCGCTGATGTCGGCGCAGTCGAAGCCGTTGTTTGCGTCGCTCAGGTGAGCGAGGATACAGAACGGGTCTCACGCGAGATGGCACAGCGACCTTACGCGGTGGCCTACGCGGGCCGTCCGCGCGGCACGCCAGATCGGAGGCGAAGGCACTCCCGCGCGGCCTTGCGCGGGCAGCTTACAGTCGGCCCGTATCACAAGGATGCGCGGTGAGGATGCAAGGGCCTTGAACACCCATGTCGATTCTTTCGAGCGGGGCGCGGCCAGCGAGAGTTGCCAAGGATGGGTCGAGGAGGCGAGGATGCAGGGGTACCATTGGGAAGATTGCCCATCCTTACCATGCGGATTGACTGTACGCGCCAGTGTCGGCGCAGTCGAACCTGTTTGTTGCGTCGCTCAGATGGGAACGGTCCATGAGCAGGCAACTCCTGGGAGGCCGTCGTGAGAACAACAAGATCAATTAGATCCAATGCACGGGGCCATGGAGCCAAGAAGCCCAGGCTGAACCCAGAAGGACTCCACGGAAAAAAAAATAGGATCATGCCAGATGGGGCCGGATCTCGACCACGGAGATACAGCGCCGCTTCATGTAGCCTCCCAAAAGTTGCATCCGAAATTCGGGGGCGGGGGCGGCTCAATGTGGGAACATCGACCTGGAATCGGCGATAGGTCTCCGATAGATCGGCGATGGGCCCCCGACAGCGAGTCCGCAGATTCCTGACCGGGCCTGAGCCGCCAGGACCACAGCGGCGATGAATGGGCGATTGGGGGTCGATGCACTCCCTCCCTGAAACGCCCTCCCAAGTGCGCGAGGCAAGCAAACGGAACTGACGGGAAAAGATATTCCGACATCACGCCGCGGCGTACGCGGAACGCCAGCGTGGCAGACCGCGTGGAGAAGAGGGAGCGCATGTGCGACCTTACGCGGGAAGCTTACGCGCGAATGTCCACGCAATCGAAACAGTGTTTTGTTCCGTCGCTCAGTCGAGGGGCCGGGGGAGTTTCGGCTACACGCAAGAACGGCCTTGCGCAAGGTTGGCCTTTGGTGCTCGCCCTTCCACTCTAGCCCCATGTGCGTGCAACCCTTGGCTGCCCCCCAGCCAGCGGTCCTTGTTGATTGCACATCTGGAGTCTTCGCCTGGCTTGCAGCGAATAAGGCTCGCCCACGCCGTCAGCCACTGCGATATCATTGTCTCCTCCTCCTCCTCCTCCTCCTCCTCCTCCTCCTCCTCCTCGTCCTCCTCCTCCTCATACTCTTCCTCCTCCTGCTCCTCCTCCTCCTCGTCCTACTTTTCCTGCTTTGCCTCCTGCTCTTCCTCCTCGCCATGTTATTGTCTACCTCCACCCTCCCGTCATCACCACCATCATCATCAGCTCCATCGTCACCAGCATCATGAGCAGCCGCATCGTGAGCATCGTCACCATCACTACCTAGACAAAAGCAACCTCGACGTCGCCGCCATCGCTGTCGACGTCCTCGTCAGGATCACCAGGGTCCTAAGCAGCAGCAGCAGCGTAGTCGTGAAGCACGGCCTCCCTGCGAGAGGGGCGAACAGCAGGCCGAAGAACCAGCGGGGCCACCGCGGCGCGGCAGTTCGGGCGGCGGGGCCCGGGAGCACGGTCGCTGTTGGAGGCCGGGGTGGCGGGAAGCCGTGCTGCACCGTCCCGCCAGCTGCTGTGTGTAGACGGTGTGCACTGCGCCCGCTCCGTGTAAGAAGGAATAATAATAATAATAATATCATCATCATCATCATCATCATCATCATCATCATCATCATCATCATCATCATCATCATCATCATCATCATCATCATCATCATCATCATCATCATCATCATCATCATCATCATCATCATCATCATCATCATCATCATCATCATCATCATCATCATCATCATCATCATCATCATCATCATCATCATCATCATCATCATCATCATCATCATCATCATCATCATCATCATCATCCTCATCCTCATCCTCATCCTCATCCTCATCCTCATCCTCATCTCATCCATCATCATCTCATCCTCATCCTCATCCTCATCCTCATCCTCATCCTCATCCTCATCCTCATCATCATCATCATCATCATAATCATCATCATCATCAGCATCAGCATCATCATCATCATCATCATCATCATCATCATCACCACCATCGTCATGAGCATCAGCAGCATCAGCATCATCATCACCATAATCATACTCATCATCATCATGAACATCATCATCAGCAGCAGCAGCATCATCATCATCATAATCAGCAGCATCATCATCACCATCAGCATCGCCATCATCATCATCATCAGCAGCATCATCACCACAAGCAGCAGCAGCAGAAACATCATCATTATAAGTATCATCATCAACAGCATCAGCAGCAGCAGCAGCAGCATCATCAGCATCAGCATCAGCACCACCATCATCATCATCATCATCATCATCAGCAGCATCATCATGATCATCAGCAGCATCATCATTATCAGCATAAGCAGCAGCAGCAGAAGCAGCATCATTATAATCCTCATCATCATAATCATCAGCAGCAGCATCATCATTACCAGCAGCAGCAACATAATCACCGCCTCCCACCACGCCGTCCCTCCTCCGAACCACCAACGACGGCGAACACAACGACATCGACGTGGGGACTGGACCCAAGGGGACATCGACGGTCGCGACGACGCGAACGGCGACGACGACCAGGGCAACCAAAAAATACCGATATCGCCACTCCCCGGACCTTCCCGGAGGTGAGGTCTAACCAGAACTTCGAGACGAATCCAGCGGTGGCGACGAGGGCCTCTCTGGAGAGCCGGACAGGCGAAAACGATGCAGGGGTAGCAATGTACGCGGCAAACTGAAACGAAGGAAAAATATGCGAAAAAGGTGGCACGATGGCGAACACTGCGGGAAAGGGCGGTGCAGTCGGACCTAGGCCAGAAGAACATCCTTCGAGAACATGACACAGAACATCCAAGGGTACCCCCTCCCCCAGATGCACAAGAGCATCCAACAGACACGAAGAACATCGGGGTACCCTCCCCGACACCGACTTCGGTCTTATGCGAAAAGGCGAAACGACTGAGACCAACAGGCGAAAAGGCGAAACGAGCGACGGACCACGTACTTCGGCCCGTCTGTATGCGAAAAAGGCGACACGACTGAGAACAACACGGACGGGAAAGGCGGCACCTTGGAACGGGGACGCCAAAAAGATACCAACACGGCTACGCCCCAAACCTCTCCCGGGGTGCGCTCCGACCAGACTTTCGAGGCGAATCCGGCGGTGGCGTCGAGAGCCTCCCAGGAGGCCCCAAAACGAGGACAACGGGCCGAGGGGCAGCGGCACTCTGGGCTTCCGACTACGCGCGAAGGGGGGGGCACCCCCCGACGGGCGTCGACCTCGCCGCGTCGTCGCGCCGCGGCGGCGGCGGCGGCGGCGCGCACCACGACGGCAGCGGCGGCGGCGCGCAACGGACGCCCCGGCGGCGCGCATATCGGGGCCGCGGCCCGGGCACAGTGGCGGCGGGCGTGCGCCAGGAGCTCGGCGGCCTCTGGAGATGAGCACCCCGGCGGCAGCCGCTCCGCGCTGCTGGCGGCCGCCTCTCCTGCCGCCGGGGGCCGAGCCCCGCTCGTCGTCGGCGTCGGCGTCGGCGTCGGCGTCGTTGGCAGCGGCGGCGGCGGCGGCAAAGTCATCGTGGTCGTCGGCGTCGTCGTCGGCGGCGTCGTCGGCGAGAACTCCTCGCAACTTACTCAGGGCTCTCGTCTGGGACTTCCCCACAACTTGCTCAAAACTCGTGAAGTCACGGCTACAAAAAACAACTCCCGTCTGAGATTTCCTAGCATGTGTTCAGGACCAGAGCTCTCGGCCGAGACTTCCTCCCAATGTGTACACAGGAATCCCACCCTCGACTGGGACGCCCTTGCATCCTTAAACCCCCAACCACAACAAGAACGGCGCCCGATTGTCCCCCGTCAGGGCTTACCAGAGAGCTGGAATGGACCCTCCCCCCTGCGAAAGGGGTTGCGTTCACATATCGACAGGGCGGATGCGAGGGAGAGGGAGAAACGCATGAACGTCAAACCGGCCTCGCAGATCAATTGGTCGTGAGATGCCTGTTGCTGTTGGGGTTGTCGCCCCCCCCCGCTGGCAAGCCCCCGGCGGCACCCCCGCGACCCAGCCGCGCGGCCCACCCCGCGACCCGACCCACCCCGCGACCCACCTGGCGCCCCACCCCACGACCCACCCACGACGCAGCCCGCGCCCCGCCCCGTGGCTCTCACTTGCACTGGCGGGGTGCTGCGCTGCACGCCCTGCGGCACCTCCTTGGCCCCTCTCCCCGGCTGGCCGAGGAGCTGCCGAAGACATCCCAGCCAAAGACCAGCAAGCGGACTCCGCTCGACCTTCCCAAGACAGCAGCAACGCTCAACAAGACGGGCAAAGGTTGGTAGATCTGCAGGCTTTCTGGGCGCTGCTTACACGGGGGGGGGGGGGGCGAGACATGAGAAGGCGAAGAAATGTGCACCTGTCGCGCCCCTTTCAGCTGGGGGGGTGGGGGTGTTGACAGCCTGAGAAAGGAGAGGCGGGGACGGGGTCAGACAGACCTCGCCTGCCAGCGCCACGCTCTCCAAAGACAGCCAAACGACACCAGACAGGACCCCAACGTGCCCTAGAGGCCCCAAGAGGCAACCTAATCGGCCCACAAGGATCAAGATCGCTTCCCTGGAAGAGCACAAAAAAACAACATAAACGATTGGCGTTCTGCGCGGATTTCTTGGATCAGCGCTGGACCCCACTCCATGGCGCGCGGAGCGCGCCAGGGGTGGCGCCGGAGGCCCCGCTCGGGGGGCGGATCCAAGAAATCCGCGCGGAACGCCAACACTTCATGTGAATGGCGTCTTTTCTTCTTCGACTCAAAGAGACGGTTCCGAGACGGTTTTGGAACCGGACGGAAGCGGCGCCAAGACGGCCCACCCACCCCAACCACTGGGGAAAGCTAAGAGATAGCGATACCGCTACTCCCCGGGCCTCGCTCGGCCAGGATTCCGAGGCGAATCCAGCGGCGGTGGCGAGAGCCTCCCAGGAGGCCCAAAAAGGCAAAACTACTAGGAAAGGAAACCTGAAAACCCAGTAAAAGTGGAAGCGTCGAGGGCTCGAAACACCCGCAAGAGCTGAAACGAGCGCAGAGCAGTGGTAACGAAATCGCCAGGGCCTCGAAAGCTCGAGGGAAACTTCTTAATTCCGCGAGCGCCTAGTTGTTAAGGATAGTCAGACGCCATTCAGCAAACGGTGGGGTGCACCAGGAGCGAAAACTGGGGCAATCAAAAGCAAACAGGACCGGCCGCAAGAGAGGGGGCACACTGCTAGAGGGGATCTGGCCAGGGGCTGGAAGGAATGGAAGGACTCGCCTGGGCCTGTTTTTTCCAGCATACAGCCCGACCTCGGCCAGAACAATACCCTTTGAGAACATGAGACCCTCCGCCGGCCCAAACACACAGAACATCCTGGGGTACCCTCCCCAAGATTCACAAAACCCTTTTTACCCCTGTCAACGGTCGTTACCCGGCGGAGGGGGAGGGGGGTGGGGCGGGGAGGGCAACGGTAGGAGCTCATTTATTTTTTTTCAAAGACAATGGGCGTTATGGGGGGGAGGGCGGAGGGGGGTAGAACGTAACCCTCCCCCCCGCCGTGTGGCTCTGGCATCACAGAAACCGTTTTTTTAGGTTCTTGGATAGCGGCCGTCATCGGCCCCGCACCCCCCCCCCCCGAAAACGGTGACTCACTGACCCATGTCAATACAAGCCCGGGTCAGTCAGGCTTTGCAGGGTCTTGCAAGATTCTGCACCCAAACCGGGGTCAATGCGACCCTGGACCTGAAAGATGCTGCAAGATCTGGTTATCTGGCTGACCCCCGTTTGCACTGACCCCCGTCTTAGCGCCCCGACAGCTGACGTCACGTTCCACGCCGGTGGCGTCCATGAATGCCTAAGGATGACCAGGGCCAACTTGGAGCAGCATGTAGGTGGCGATCTGCCTTATAGCGCCTGTGTACACCACAATGCCCAGGCGCACCACAACGCGCGTGTACACCATAGCGCCTGCGTACACCAAAGCAGCCGTGTGCAACACAACGCACGCCTACACCATTGTGCTTGCGTGCACCACAGCGCCAGTATGCACCACGGGGAATGTGTACCCAACAACAACGATTTCTGTTGTGGCAAAGCCCCAGGAGGACGGCGGTGACCGACGCCCTCTGCCCTCGCCACGGGCGCACAGAAGCCTGACGCCGCCGACGACGCGTGGGCGGCTCGGGGCGGCCGCCGACGACGCGTGGGCCGTCGCGGCGAAGCCCGCCGCCGCCGACGACGCCTGGGCCGTCGCGGCGCGGGGCGGCCGCCGACGACGCGTGGGCCGTCGCGGCGAGGGCGCTCTGGTGGCGCCGAAGACTCACACGGCTAGCACGGCCGCGTGGCGGGGGCTGCAACGCTCGGGAGGCCCGGTGCCTCGCCAACCGCCGCGCCGTCGGCGAGGCGCGCCGAGCTGGGGGGGTGCTGACCACGAATGCGGTCAGCCCAAAGACGTCGGACGCGCCCTGCCTCGCCCACGCGCGGGGCGCACAGAGCCGCTAAAGCCTTGATGCTGCCGAGGCGCCCCCCGGCGCAGGCGCGGCACCTCGCGCAGAGCACATAGCCGAAGGCACGCTGCGCGATGTGGCCGAAGGCATCTCGCGCCCGCGGCGGGTCGTCCTCGGCGCCGGTCTCGCCCCCCGCAAACACCGCTGGGCCCGCCGACGGCGGGGGGTGCTGGCGAGCGCGCCGCGGGGGCCGGGACCTCGCAGCTGCCTCCGAGGTCCGCTCGCAGGGGGGCGCGGCCCCGACCAGGCCGCTGGCCGCGGCGGCACCCTGGGTCTCAGCGGCCCCCGCTGGGTCAGGCGCGGGCCGAACGGGCCTGCGGTCGCGGGCTCCTGCCCCACCGCGCTCGGCGTGGGGCCATGGCCCCTATCAGACCCGAGCGCTCCTGGTCGGCTGTCGGCGCCATCGGCGGCTGCCGCGGCTGCCGCCGCCGCCGCCACGAGGGCCGCGCCTGCTGCCGCACTGGACGGCGCCGCCTTCCCGGCCACCGAGGCGATCTTGGGAACGCACGGGGACCGATACTGCACCTGCTTCGACCTCGTGGTCCGCGCCATTCGCAGGCACACCGTGCTGCGCCAGGGGCCCGAGCCGAGCGTGCCGAACGCGTGCTCGGCGAGGAGGAGGCGGTCCTTGTTGGCCTCGTCGCAGGCCGCACGGCCGTGGACGCCGTCGAGCCTGTCGGCGGTCGCGGGGGCGCCATCCGCGGCAACCCAGCGCGCGACGCCGTCGACGAAGAGCTGGGCACGCAGCTGCCTCTGCCTCTGGGCCGAGGGGGCGCGTAGGTGGCGGGCGTTCGCGCCTGCGACGCGGTCGGCCTCGTAGTTGCCGCGGCGCCGCTTCCACGCGATGATGCCGCGGGCGACGCGGGCGGCGGGGGCGTGGCCCCTGATCTTCACGATCGTGAGCCCCGCAGGGCCAACGCCGCCGAAGTCGTGGTGCGCCTGCCACACCTGCCAGCAGATGCCCCCACGCTGGGGGCGCCAGCGTCGCGCGGGCCTCGCCTCGAAGGTCGATACCGTCGACGACGGAGCCGGCGTCGCAGTGCAGCTCGATGGGCGGGATGGCGCGCCGCAGGACGATGAGCACCGCCAGCAGCTCCGCGCCCTCGATGCTCTGCCAGGGCCCAGCAAGAGGCGCGCCCAGCGCCTTGGCGCGGCTGCCTGCGCCTTAGTCGACTTCCCCGGGGCCTGGAGGAAGCTCGACGACCGATGCCGCGGCCTGCGCGCCACGGCCCTCGGCCGGCAGCGCGTCGCACAGCGAGCCGCCGCAATGCAGTGGCTGGCCGACGAAAAGCCCACCTGGCTCACCGCGACACCAGCGGAGGTGGTCGAGGAAGCCGCCGCCGGGAGGCCCCCACTGGAGCTGCTGGGCAGGAAAAAAGACGCGCTCGACAAGGCACTTGACAACCGCGTCGTCCTTCTGCGGCAGCAGCAGGGCGATCTCACTCGGGAGGCTGTGGCCGCGGTCCTGGATGGCGCTGCAGCAGAGGCGCCTGTGCCAGACGTCGCCGACGTGGTCGGGGCAGAGCTCGCAAGTGCCGGAGGGGGCATACCTCGGGTTGTTGGCGCACTTCCTGGCGTTGGTCCAGTGGCCGTCGACGATGAAAGACCTGAGGTAGCCGCGCTGCCCGCTGCTGAGGCTGGGCCAGCTCCGCGCTTCCTGGGGGGTGCCACGGCCGCTGGCCGCCCACCGCCGAAGCTGGCCGAAATGGATGCCGACGTCGAGCCAGGAGGCGTCGTGCTTGCTGAGCTGCTTGGCCTGCCAGCGCTCGCAGCTGCGGCCCATCAGCCTCTCGGTGAGCCACGGGCTGGCGTCGCTGACGCCGCGGCGAAAGCCGTCGCGCGTGGCCCGCGCATCGAGCGAGGCCGCCCCCCAGCCCACGCGGCGCATGAACAGGAGAGCAGCCTCCACGGGGCCGCGGCAACCGCCCAGCTGCCCGACGCGGCCAAGGCCGCCGCGAAGGCCTTGTCCA